TACATCCATCCAAATGCAATTTCCTGCTTCTTGGCAGGGGGTTGGACTAGATGGCCCACAAGATCTCTCCCAACTCTATGATTCTATTATTCTATATCGCTTCCCATGCTGCTAGGGAAGAAATTGACTTTAAAAGTAGCCTTAAAAGGGGTATTTTTAACCAATAATTGCTATTAATAGTGTGGAAGGAAAGTAGGAAAATATCATTACATGAAGGATGTTTTAATTGTACCTCTGTAGATTAAAATGTTTAAACTGCATAGTGACTTCCCTACGAATAGAATAAAAATGGCACCAGACCTACAGAGGAACGCTTTTTCATTTTCTCCATAAATGGCAATGAAATATACTACTGAGTTTAAGGCCTAGCTCAGATATAACAATTGGCCAGAAGCCTGGGGTCCTTCAATGAGCATAATCTTCTATGTGTAATTTTCTTTATCACTACATATGCGCAAGGAACTCTGACATTTCTCTCTCCAGACAATCCAGTCATGATATGCTGTTGGCTGATGACTCAGGCTTGCCTGGGAACAGGTTAGCAAGTGTTTACAGTTCGCATTTCATGATAAAAAGAACCATGGACATATATATGTTTTTGGGTTTTTTTGTCTAGCACTTTCACCCTTTGCAGAAGTAACTGTTTATGAAGGATTTGCCAGCAAGCAAAATCCAGGATTTATCATGTTTGAATTAGATCTCGGTAAGTCAAAGAATTAATGGCTTTTACAAATTATTGCTGAAGAAAATTTGCTAATCTTCTAAACTGAACCAAATCAGAATAGTGTATATACTCGAGTATAAGCCTAGTTTTTCAGTCCTTTTTTTAGGCTGAAAAAGTCTCCCCCAGCTTATACTCGAGTCAATGTTATTTATTATTTTATTATTTTATATTGTTTATTATTATTATTATTATTATTATTATTATTATTATTATTATCTGTATCATTATTTTATATTATGTTCATTATTATTATTATTATCTGTATCATTATTATTGTTAGATTTATTATTTTACTCATCATTATTATTATTTTACTCTATTTATTATTGTTGGAAGGATATGTAAGCATATGTACATTGAAGACGGTTAGAATAATGGTTTAATCAGAGTTGGACAGTTTTATCTTGAATTACAGTTTTATGTAAATATTCAAAAACATTTAACTTACTGACGCCTAAATTAATATAATTTTATTGGTATCTGTCAGACAAGCCCCTACATTGGCAGTCTTTAGGAAAAGTTTGAAGACCTGGCTGTTCCGATGTGCCTTTCCAGAAACTGGAGAAATTACACTGTTTAGCCGGTATTGCACCACCTGACATCCCCGGAAGTAGCAGCCAATAGTGAAAGGACCAAGGCAGAGACATCTCCAGCTCATCCCTGTTTGGGTATCAGCCAGCACGTCAACGACTTAAATCAAGAAATAGTTTTCTAGGATCTACAGAGACACTCGCTGGAACACCTCAGCAAGTGAGAGTCTAAAAGTGGCAGGCTCAAACCCAGAACCTCAATCAATGGCTGATACCAAATGAGAGATTCCCCCTGGGCACACAGAAAACTGGGCGACTTGGAAGGCGTGAACAGACTGTGCTCTGGCACCACGAGATGCAGAGCCAACCTTAAGAAATGGGGCTACAAAGTGGAATCCACGACATGCGAGTGTGTAGAAGAGCAAACCACTGACCACCTGCTGCAATGCAACCTGAGCCCTGCCACATGCACAATGGAGGACCTTCTTGCAGCAACAACAGAGGCACTCCAAGTGGCCAGATACTGGTCAAAGGACATTTAATCAACTACCAAGCTTGCAAACTTTGTGTTTTGTCTGTTTGTTTGTTTTTGTTAAAAATGTAATACAAATGTCTGGTTGCTCTTGACACAATAAATAAATAAATCTTGGTAAAAACCGCCACAGAAAGCAACAAGTGTGAACTGTGCATGTACTTCAGTTAAATAAGTTGACAGATTAAATATTAAATAAAAAAAATCTCAAAAATACCAAAAGGGATTTAAGGTAACAATTATCTCTATTTCATTGGTCAGATTCCCCCTCCAACCCAAAATAAATGGGTACTTCATACGTACCCAGCTGAAATTTATGTATTTCATTATAAGTGTACCTATAACACTTCTGCAAAAACAATGCCATTTCTAAGCTACCTTTCCCCATGCAACATCTTTCTCATTTCAAAGAGCACTATTCACATTTGTGGTTGTCAAAGCAAATGAGGAGATTGTGTTGTGCTCCTATGCATAAAGCGTTTATTGTTTTGCAGTAGTATATTTAAACAGAATTTAAAATTTAATGTTAAAATTAGGGGGAATACTGCAAAATTGTCAACACTACCTTAACGTCTGTGGACTGCAACACATATATGAAGAAATACTTGAAAGAGAAAAGGCCCCTTAAATTTATGTTGCGTATCATTTTCCCGTAAAAGTCAGAGGTCAAAAGGTTACCAGTTTCTGCTTCAGCTCTTCAACAGTTCACCATTCCAGGCCCCATTTTTACTAGGTTTTATTTGTGATGAAGTCAGCAGCTTTTATTCAAACAATAAAGTGGCACAAATACTTAAAATTTCATGTGAAGATGTTAGTAACAACTTTAGTTTAACTCCTTGTACATGGACCAAAAAACTGAATGCTACTTCAATTGAAAAACTAACATGGTTAAATGCCGAGCTTGACAATTCGAAAGAACTTTTTTCTCTTTTCTTTCTTTCAATTCCTTCCCCTCCTTCCCTTGCCTTTTTCTGACACACAATTCCTTTGTTGTCCAACAGAACTTGAATCAAACAGGATCATAAAACTACATTTAAAAGTTTATATCTATTGTAGATTCAGAGTCAACTTCAATAAAACAACTCTCTTTATATTCAGATTAAGAGTCCCTTTAACGTTTTAATTGCATTTAATTAGCATGAAATTTATTGCAGTTGCAGAGTTCTAAAAAACTACTTTTTGAGCTTGTCCAAACATTGATACTTCAAAAACACACACACACAATATTAATGATGTATCGTGTATGTAACATCAAACGCCACTCATAACAAGCAACTTAGTCCCTGCTCTTTTGCTATCAGCGAATAATAAAGTTAGCCTGACGCTAAAACAAAGTAACTCATTTACATAAAACATTTTAGCTACTGGCTGAATATGGGAAGGATCAAGTGTTTAAACATTGTGACACACATAGTCAAATTAATAAATCTCCAAGCACTTTTTCTAAAGAAGCTTGTTAAATTGTCATATCCACTTTTGCCCTGCTCATCCTACTGCAAAGGGGGCTATACGTAACCTTGAAAGTCACTCACTCCCACTATACACAGGTCCCTAAACTTAACTTTTCCATCATGTTTAGGGCTCTCTCTGCTTCATTTTAAGTCAAGATAAGGATTTTTCCAATAAGAATTGATCCAGAAAAGTGGAAAAATTATCCCCTGCTTTTAAAATAGGTGTTTTGGGGTTTGGTTTGGTTTGGTTTTTGGTTTTTTGGTTTTGTTTTTTTGAGCAAAAGAACCCCAAAACTGCAGTCAGGGCCCTTCCAGACAGGTCCTATATTCCAGGATCTGATCCCAGGTTTTCTGCTTTAAACTGGATTATATGAGTCCGCACTGCCAGATTTTGTTATGTGTATTTTGTTATGCTATGTTTTATTGAGGCCTTGGCCTGTCTAAGCCGCATCGAGTCCTTCGGGAGATGCTAGCGGGGTACAAATAAAGTTAATAATAATAATAGTCATCATCATCATCATCATCATCCTCATCATCATCATCTGGGATAAACAGAAAACCTGGGATCAGTACCGTAACCAGGATTTTGATTCGTTGGGGGGGGGGTTGAGTTTGATGGGGGGGGGCTAAGTCTGAGTGAGAGAGGATCCACCCTAGCAAACCTTTTGTATCGTTACCCCAAACCCCCATGCATATGGGATATATTGAGCATGGTGATCAGATCATGATATGAATAAACGTAACAGTTTAAATAATGTACCAGTAAGGCCTTCTCGCGGACCACCCTGGGAATTTGGGGGGGGGGCTGAAGCCCCTCAAGCCCTCCCCCCCCCTCACCCCAGCTATGGGCCTAGCTGGGATCAGTTCCTGGGATATAGGACCTGTCTGGAAGAGCCCTTGGGGAGCCATAGGAAACTTCAACACACTTTGATGAAAATGGGTATGTTCTCCAGGTCAGTGCATCTAAAAGCTGTAGTCTATGGAATACAAGCCATGAGATGTCAGTCCTCAGCAAATTCCAGGAAAGACACAAACAATTGTAGCACATTGTCAATCCCTGGCACATTGTGGGAGGAAATAGCCAGTCTTCAACATGAGATAGCTTGCTACACTGCTCAAGGTAAGCCGAGAGTCACAACTGGTGGGTGATCTCCTATCCAAACTGATCACTAGAAATATCACCACCACTTTTTGTATTTTCTGTTAAGGGATACTCTCAACAGAAAACAGGGGTGGCAAAGTGAAAGAAAACATAAACAAGGAAGAGTATAAAATGGGCATTCGCTGTAATACAAACATGTGTATTTACCATTAATCAATAATTAATGCATTAATCAATAATAACACATTACTCATTCACTACTCATTTATTTGACAGGAAGGTGCAATCAGAGTTGTCAGTAACGCCCGAAATGTACGCAATGGCTTTCCCTAATTTGAAAAGACTCTGTTTTGGGGACCAAGACAAATGGATGCAATGGCTTTGGCTTATGAGGATGGGTCTCATTCTGTCATTTGCCTGTCTTTATCCCATCTTCATAGGACTATTAACAACAGCCCTAGCGGTTATACTGTACAGACATCTAATCAAGGCCCACTGAACAGAAAAAGATGGATTACCATTCATCCTGGAGGGTTCAAACGAGGCTCACTATACGTTGCCATATCAAAATCCACGCCCAGTGTTAAAAATATTAAAATGCTTATTTAGCACCTGCATACTTAAACCCAAAGATAATCAGAATTCAATGTAAGGCCCCTACCTTGCTCACTGCTGTTATCCCCACTGTGTGATGTGTGCCCCCCACTGGAGGGTCCTGGTGTTCCTCCTGAACGTGTTGATGCTGTGTCATCGTGGTCTCTGTTCCAGGAAGGCTGTCAGGTGGGAATTAAGAACAAAACAAGCCATATTCAGCACAATGCATAGAAAACATGACACATCTTGTATCTTGCTAGAACACCACCACCATAGGAAACTGGCAGTTCCAGATGAAAAACATGATACTATCTAGGACTTTATGATCATCCGGGGAGGCCCTGCTCTCGATCCCACCCTCATCAATGTACATCTGGTGGGGACAAGAGGCAGGGCCTTCTCTGTTGTGGCCCCTCGGCTATGGAACATCCTCCCTAAGGAGATTAGATTGACTCCCTCACTCTTAACGTTTCGGAGACAAGTTAAGACATGGTTATATGAGCAAGCGTTTACAAATGCAGAGTAACTGACATAGGAAATGGAATCACTCAACAATGGAACTTGGACAATGTTATTTAACTAGGAGATGCTGATGATACTGTTGTTGGTTTTTATTGCTTCTATTGTGGTTTTATATACTACACTAGAAACATTTTAAAAGAACCTTAAAACCTGGCTCTTCCCCTGCACTTTTGGCGAGTAGGTGCACAACATGACACTGTTGCTCCCCTCAACGCTTCTGTCACTGGAGTATACGCGTATCATGAAAGACTATACTACTCGTCCAACGAGGGATCGCCTAAGTAAGGAGTATACGCCCCCCCCCAATGGGAAGTTTAGTTTTACAACCCTGTGTGTCTTTATGAGCTCCCTGCAAATAACTTGCTCCTATTTTTATCTCATTAGAGTTTTTAACATTTTATCCTGTACATGTGGCCCACCCACTGTTACTGCAACTGTGTTTTTTTTGTTCATTGTAATGTTATTTTGTTATTGTATTTATATGTTTTTTTTCATGTAATTTTGATGATGTTGCTTGTTGTTTATGTTTTGGTTTTATTTTGATGTAATACGTTGTTCGGGCTTGGCCCCATGTAAGCCGCTCCGAGTCCCCATCGGGGAGATGGTGGAGGGGTATAAATAAAATTTATTATTATTTATTTATTCTTATACTATTTTAATATTTAATTTGTGTTCTGTTGTTATGTGTACTGACTTGTAAACTGCCTTGAGTGGCCAATAAGGCTGAGAATAAATAAATACTAAAAAATTTTTGTCGTGTCAGGAGCAACTTGAGAAACTGCAAGTTGCTTCTGGTGTGTAAGAATTGGCCGTCTGCAAGAATGTTGCCCAGGGGTTGCCCGGATGATTTGATGTTTTTATCATCCTGGGAGGCTTCTCTCATGTCCCCACGTGAGGAGCTGGAGCTGATAGAGGGAGCTCATCCGCCTCTCCCCGGATTCGAACCTGCGACCTGTCGGTCTTCAGTCCTGCCGGCACAGGGGTTTAACCCACTGCGCCACCGGGGGCTCCTTTTACATGTGGCCCACCCACTGTTACTATGACTGTGTTTTTTTGTTTATTGTAATGTTATTTTGTTATTGTATTTATATGTTTTTTTCATGTAATTTTGATGATGTTGCTTGTTGTTTATGTTCTGGTTTTATTTTGATGTAATATGTTGTTCGGGCTTGGCCCCATGTAAGTCGCTCCGAGTCCCCATCGGGGAGATGGTGGTGGGGTATAAAGTTTTAATATTTAATTTGTATTTAATTTAATATTTAATTTGTATTCTGTTGTTATATGTGCTGACTTGTTGTAACTGCCTTGAGTCGCCAATAAGGTTGAGAAAGGCGGTATACTAGTATAGTAAATAAATAAATAAATAAATACCATATTGAATTCAGACTCTATGTTTTTTAAAAGAAAAATATGCTTTGTAATTGTAAAAAGCAGCCTGGTTTATGCTATAAGAGAGGCAATAATAATCATCATCGTCATCATCATCATCATCATCATCTTTATTTATACCACGCACCTAATTCATAATAATGAGGAGAAAGAGATTCTACAACAAAGGGTATACACATTATTTAGTAATCAATCATCTTAGTAAACAATAAAACCCACAAATAAGTATCCACAAGCCAAAAAAAATCAAAAAAATCAAAAAAATCAAAAGCTATTCTCACATCACAAAAAGAGAGGCAAAGAGATGGAGGGAGAAGGCAGATTCGTATGCAATTTGGTTTTACTAATTCATACATATAGGTGCAAATTTAGAAAACATTATCATAATAATCAATATCATAATAATTCCAGTAATACAAAATAAACTGAAATACAACACATCTTATCCTAGTGAGGGAAACTCTGACAAGGTGACCAGTGTGCCTTCTGCACAGTCTGCTGTCAAGACATTAAATATTGTTGGGCAGCTTCACAAGGCCCCTTCGTTTGGTTCATTATCTTTAAACCAGGCTTGAATAAATACGTTTCCCAGCAGAAGATGCTTCACATAGAGGACTGCTCTCTTTAAAGAAGACACATGACCATCCTATATGTAACAGGCTCCAAAGCGCACAGAAAACACACATGGGAAAACTTAAAGATTTCATTCACAATTAGGCCTAGGGTTCCAATAGCCAATATGGGTCAGCTACTTGCCAGATGGCATATAGGCAAATGGACCAAGCATCAGGATGAAGAGAGAAATTAGAGCAACAATGGCTTCACATGGGCTGTATACACTCAGCTCCATGCAAGCACTCTTGTACTAATGAACGGAAAACAGATGTTGCTTCTTATCACAGGGTGTGTTTGAAAGTATCATTCAGATAGGAAAAACTGGCTGTAAATTAAATTCTTAAGAAAAACAATCATGGCAACTATCCTCCCATGTCTCCCTTTATCACCAGAAACGATTTTAATTAGCTTTTAGTACTAAGCTTTTAAAAACATCATAGTGACTGGTGTGTATGTGTGTAAAAAACAGATTAGGTTGTTCTTCAGTGTCTTGCAATACGGCGTGCAGAGAACGGAGGTGGGGAGACATCTTATCAACTACTACCAAGTGTAAACAAATCAAAACAGATAACTTTAATGACATGAATTGAGGCAAGGATGGGCAGAATCTAGACCAGGATCCCCTGGTTAATTTCTTGGTGATTTACAGCAGATTACCACGGATTTCTGCCACCCATTGTTTAACTGTTGGGACAACTAAATGATTCCCATCATCCCCACTATCTTCAGTCATACAGTTGAAATTACAAAAACCTGGATAACAAGGAATGTGTGTGTGAAAAGACTAAAAGTGAGGAAAAGTATCTGTTTGGTGGATTCCAGTAAAAATAATGTCGATCCCATAAATCTGAACCAGAAAGTGATGTACCACTTTTCTCTCTGTTGGGTTTACCCCAATTATGAGGCGGCTGCATCAGGCAGAAGATTTTGGTCATGAAAGGATAGCAAATCTATATAAATAAAAATGTAATGTACATTTGTGGAATTAACATAACTCAAAAACCACTGGACGAATTGACACCAAATTTGGACACAATACACCTATCAGACCAACAAGTGACCATCTATATAAATAAAAATGTAATGTTTGTTTGTGGGATTAACATAACTCAAAACCCACAGGTCGAATTGACACCAAATTTGGCCACAAGACACCTACTAACCCAAGGAATGTCCATCACTCAAAAAAGTTAATTTTGTCATTTGGGAGTTGTGAGTTGCCAGGATTTATAGTTAACACACAATCAAAGAACATTCTGAACTCCACCAATGATGGAATTGAACCAAACTCGGCACACAGAACTCTCATGACCAACAGAAAACACTAGAAGGGTTTGGTGGGCATTGACCTTGAGTTTTGGAGTTGTTCACCTACATCCAGAGAGCACTGTGGACTCAAACAATGAAGGATCTGGACCAAACTTGGCACATATACTCCATATGCCCAAATATGAACACAGATGGAGTCTGGAGGAAATAGACTTTGAGATTTTTAAATTGTAGTTACTGGGATTTATAGTTCACCTACAATCAAAGAGCATTCTGAACCCCACCAATGATAGAATTGGGCCAAACTTCCACACAGAACCCCTATGACCAATACAAAATAATGTGAGTTCTGGTGGTCTTTGGTGACCCCTCTGACACCCCCTTCATGATCCCACAGGGGTCCCAAACCAAGTTGAGAAATGCTGCCTTAAGGCCATCCAGTCCAACTCCCTTCACCAGGGCAAAAAACATAATCAAAGCCCTCCTGACAAAGCGCCATCCAGCCATACATATAAATAGATATATATGATTCACACACATATATGTATATGACAGATATAATATCATAGATTTGAAATGGACCCCTAAAGAAGGACAATTATATATTGCATGTTCCAGAGTAGGCAAACCACACCATCTATCCATCAACACTGACAAAGAAACAGCAACAACAAATACTTCATAATCTCTGAGGATGCGTGCCATAGATGCAGATCACCAGACTGGGCCACAGCAATGTGTGGCAGGGAACGGCTAGTTACTCATAAAAACACTGAAAAACGCAGTGGAAGAGACTTAAAAAGCCCCAAAAGAATTATGTTACAATGCATGTTCAAAACTACATATACACAAACACACATATACACACATATACACAGATATATACACAAGTTTAGTTCAATTCCATCATTGGTGGAGTTCAGAATGCTCTGATTGTAGGCAAACTATAAATCCCAGCAACTATAACTCCCAAATGACAATATCAAACCGCATCCAGTATTCAAATTTGGGCGTATTGCGTATTTGTGCCCAATTTGGTCTAATGAATGAAATTTCATCCTGCATATCAGATATT